GGAATCTACAGACACTGGAGAAAATATTTGAAAGAAGAATCTTAGGAACTCATACAGTTTTCATGTTTCCATCATAGTTCCTGATTTAATCAGCTAGAGTAAAAGTAATTGCACAATCCACAGGTAAATAAACAACAAGATGGTAGATTTAAATCTGACCATATCAATCACATTAATTGTAAATGGCTCACATAAGGCAGAGATTGTCACATTGGATTAAAAAGACTCAACTGTATACTGCCTACAATAAACATGCTTTAAATATAATGAGACAAACAGGTTAAAAGTTAAACGATGAAAAACATATAATATAGTGAATAATGGAAGGAACATAGGACATTTCATTGAAAAAATGAGAATAGATGAGAGAAGCTCAATCATCATCTTCTAATGTTTCTAGAAATAGGATTCCTAAAACTACAGATGCATATACAAAATCATAGTTACTTAGGGAGGTGAATTTCCAGCACTGTATTCGGTAAATCCTTCATTTGGTATCTTCATATCTTCCTAAGCCATGATGTATTCCCATCCACAGTTTATTTTTCTTACCATTTATACATTGCTAGTCAGAAATGAGAAGGGGCTTTTACTAATTCAGTTTACTAATCAAACTGCTATTTTTTACTTCTTCTCTTCTTCCTCTCCTTCTTCCTCTTCCTTCTCCTCCTACTTCTCCTCTCCCTCCTCTTTTTCCTTGTTTTTCTCACCCATTTCTTTTTTGCTTTACAATTTCTTTGAAAATATATCATTTAAAAATGTACATCTGAATATATAAATAATTTTTCCCCTAGGCTTTTTTTTTTTTTTAACTTCACTAGAACTCTCTCTCTTTGGCCCGATTATGAGTCAAAATAGATCACACAATATAAAATAATGGCAGAAAGAAAATAAATAAAGAAGCATATTGGAAAGTTATATTTAATCCAAAGAAAGCGGTCAGTCACATTAGCAATCATTGCTGAGAACATAGAATTTTTCTTACTCTACTGTGCTGGTTGGCTTGTCATGAGAAAAATATTAACTGTATTGTTTAAGGCTATAATTAACTTACATATGTGCATCCACATTTGAACATAGCAGTATTTTTGAAATGAACAGCACCATAAAATACCAGAACTTTTTTGGGGTTAGCACTATATTAATTAGCCTTGAAGCTGAAGGCCTACGTATGTTTTATATATCATTAGGATTAGGATTGTTATGTGTCAGTGGGATTAGGATAAAGACTAAAGAATAAACATCTTAAGTAGCAGATTTGGGCTCAATAATTGGGAAAAATATTCTAACAATTAGACTGTCTGAAAATTGGAACAGGTTATTTTTCCAAGCCTATTAATTTCATTCACTGGAAGAATTAAAACAGGTTGGATTCAGAGCTATACTTATATGAAACTTTGGGTAAATTAGGTAGAGGTACTCTGTCTGGTATGGACATATACCCATACTAGTTATGCAACTCAGTGGTGACAGTATGACCTTATTTTCAGCCTTCACTTCCTCCTCAGATGGGAGCCTTTTGCAGTATTTTCTTGTTAGAAATTCTGTAGATCAACTTTCTGAAGTAGGTTAGAGTTTGGATTTGATACCCTTCAATGTTTACATTTTATATTTCCAGGTGTAACCTGGATACAAATCAATACTTTAGGTGTCCCAGTTTCTACACAGACCACATTCAAAGAAACATCATGCTAAAATCAAAATCACTGCAAGAAGAATTTCAATCTTATGTCTTTCAGAAACCATTAAATATGATCCAGTTTATAACCTGCACAACATTTCTCGAAAGTCTCTTTCCTCACTCAAGGCTGGCCTGATGCCCATACACTTCATAATTGCTTCAGGGACTCTCACATACCAACCCTCTGAAATTTTCTCTGAAGCCCCAGCCCAGCCCGTAAGGTTTTCTACCTCTCTTTTGTTTCCTTCCTTTCTCCTGAATTTCCGATCTAGTTTTTCTCTCTCTCCATTCTCCAAACTCTATAATAAAAAAAGAACTATGTTGAAAAAAAGAACTTTCCTTATACTGCGAGAGAACTGGGAGAAGTTGAGCAAGAAAAGATAAAAGCTCTTCTTATTTTCCTCTTTGCATCTCTAATTCTCATTCTCTTTCTGCCTAGCTTTCTGATTTTTTTTTAAAAAAGCATAACCTGGAAATCAGGCTGAGATTGAATAAGTGATTTTGGGGTAATTTCAGGAGTAGGGATATTTGTCTAATGTATAATACTTTTTGAGTGAATCCTATGTCTACAGCTCCTTCTACTAGATCTTAAAAAAGAGGCAAAGCAAATTATGTGAATAATCCCCACTCAAGAGGAATTTACAATCTCATGAGTCAGACTGTATAAAATCACATGAAATAGATTTAAAAGAAGAAAACCAATGAACAGTGAAAATGACTACACGTCTACACCCATGAGTAGACTGGGAGTTACCTGAATGCTAATTATGTAGCATGAGCAGAATTGTGGAGAAACCAGGGAAAGTTGCATGGAAGAAGTAAATATTGCACGTTTAGAAGATGTGAAAGGCCATGAAACTAGAGAAGTTAGTATAGTGACAGACTGAAGAAACAAAGTAACATGAGGAAATCATGAGTATACTCACTTGTTGAAAGAGTTTAGGCCAGGTGGAAAGGCATTTTTCTCAATGGAAATGCAACTCTTCCTCTTCTGACTCCCTCGCTAATTGTGTGACTTGATTTTTATGTATGCCATTATGCCTTGAGTTAATTCTACATTATTCAGTTTTCTTCATTAATGGTAACTCCTAAAACATAGAGAGAACATCTCTCTCGTTTCTGCTCTCTTCATAGCACTTCACAAAGAATCTGGCAAATTATGATTGTGCAATAAACAGTTGCTGAATAAAATAGAATTGAAAGGAAGCTAATGAGGCGGTGGGTAGGGGAGCAGAGAAGGGGCTACATTGCTTCTGCTAATGAGTTTAAGTTTGATATTGGAGATAATTGAAGTTGAAACATATCATCGGTGTTATCAAAATGAGATTTAAAAAATATTTTTTTCTGTTGGTCTATGTGTGAGGTAGAAGATAATGTTTATTTTTATTTGCATAGGTATTGTTCTTGACATTTAAAAAGAGATGTCCCATATAGGTGGTTCATAATACTGTAGGCTGCTTTTAGTCATTGAATCTTTTGAATAAATATATTTAGTATTCTTGAATTTTATGCACTGGTCAAGTTACTAAGAGAATTTCATGTGTGTGAATAAATTTCTTCATAAAGATTTTTTTGGTAATGTTGACTATAAATAGGAGTGATCCATGCTCTGGAGTGAGATTATGGTATGTTTTAAATAATATGCATGCATGTGGAATTGGAAAAAAAATCTGGAATAAAAATTCCAGATATAAGCTTGAAAAATATTTTTTGGAAAGATTTATTCTGTTTTTAGGAATTTTTTTTGATGGAGACTTCAGAACTATTTATTCATTTTTAATTTTATTAATTTTGTATTTGTAAAAATGTATGGAATATAAGTGTAATTTTGTTTCATGCATAGATCACGTTGTGGTAGAGTCAAGACTTTTAGGGTATCTGTCATCCAACAGAACTATTTTATTAAACTAATTTCTCCTCTCTCCTGGTTTTAAAATGTTTTAGAAAAATTGCTGGAACTGATATGATGTAGACACTTCTATGCACATTCGCCTTCAGTTCTGAAAATCCTGTTCATGTGAATTCTTTGTTACTAGCATTTTAACACAAAATTTAAAATGATTGAAATTGTACAAATAATAGCTGGTGATTCAAGTTTTCAATTATTTTGTTCATTTTTTTATAGACTTGAATTTATAAACAAGATATGTATTAAAAATGCCTTTACTGCTTATTTTGATTATAAAAACAATCCATTATTAGTATATGTGTAGCTTCTGAACTTCTATGTGTATGTACCAAGCAGAACATATAAAACAAAGTTAAAGATTGCTTATTTGTGAAGGAAAGTGATATAATATCTTTATTAAAGTGGATTTACATTTACATGGTGGAAGACAGAGAGTAACTCTTCACTTTAATTTAAAAACAATGGGGAAAAACACAGCAGGGACTATAGAAATAGGCAAGGGAACTCAGTATTTTGTTATTCTAAAGGCTTCCAGAAATCAGATTTTTATTTGCTGGAGAAATGGACATTAAAAAGAACTGCAGCAAACTAAATACATGGTATTCTTTTTCTTGGCTTCCCAATTTTAGCTAGTATATTGGCTTTTTGGTTAAATTTCATTGGCACATGCCTTTGTCTTCTGGAGCTGACGAAACAATTATAAAATAAAAAACTTTGACAGCATGTCTGTTCTATCAGAAAGTGTAACACCCCTTCTTAAAAAGAGAACACTCACCCCTAAAAGTTTTATGAAAAAAGGGCAGCGCCACAAAATAATTTACGAACACTTCAAACAATAGTTTAAACCATTTGCCACTCCTCAATAAATTTCAGTTACAATAGTTTGAGTGTGTAAATTATATGACTTGGAGAAACAGAGAAAAACTGAATGGATAGTTTCAGGGACAGGGAAGATCTCTAGCCACATATATCTGTTCATTGTGATACTTATTTTCTTAGCTCATGAGATGAAATTTCAGTTTGTTTATGAGAACTCATTGTTCTTTACCCAGACTGGGCAGTGGCTATCTGAATGTTTCTGTATGAATGAAAGTCTCATCTGTCAGAAACTTTAAAGAAAGGTAAGGCCCTTTAGCAATGCCCTGTCATGTTTCTGAATTTTGTAGAACTGGCAGCCATATGATATGTTGAAAATTCATAGCTCCCAAAGAAGTAAGCGTGGATTCTCTGAATATATTTTTGCACAACAGATCCCTCTTGCAGTTTTATGATTTTGCATAGCTTGTAGGGAGAGACTGGACTAGCTAGAGGCTTCCTGGTTTCATTAGCATAGCCCAGCCTACTTCCAACACACGCCCAGAACTACCTCATTAACTATTGGGATTGCAGCCAAAAACATAAGACTACAGTGAATATAAGGGGAATTACTGGCGAGAGAGCTGTAGACCAACACTGAACCCATTACTTTTCCAAGATCAGAAAAATATTACATGAACAGGGACTACTTCTTATTCAGATAGGAATTCAAGGTTTTAACCTATAGTTTTTATCTAAATAATTAGCTGACTATAGTAAGACATATAGTCCAGCTGCATATTTTTAAGTGCTTCTGTTAATCTTTCTGCCTCTCTCTTTCTTGTTTACTTATTTTCTGGGTAGCTTTGACATTGTAAACCACAGACGAATTGGAGCCTGGCATTGGAAAGAGGTGTTCTGCAACAAATTTTTTCTTGTTTAGAGAAGTTTGCTTCTAGAAGAGGAAATCTGAAAAATGACAGGAGCTAAGAGGAAAAAGAAAAGCGTGCTCTGGAGCAAGATGCATACTCCCCAGTGTGAAGACATTACACAGTGGTGTAGAAGGCGGCTACCTATTCTGGCATGGGCACCACATTACAATCTGAAAGAAAACCTCCTTCCAGATACCGTGTCTGGAATAATGTTGGCAGTTCAACAGGTGGCCCAAGGTAATGTATTGCATTTGATTTTCCTGTGTTATGCAGAATATATATCACTCGACTTTCTTGGAAGAGTACTGTGACCTAGGATTGAAAATTTAGCTAAAGAAATGAATATTATCTTTGGGTAAATAAGCATATTGGATATCTGTATACAAGAGTTTTCCTAATTGCATTTTTTCTATATTTTTTGATAGCTATTAAGCATAGAACCAACTTTTGAATGGTACTACATATTTCCTATGTTAAAATTCAAATTGTTTTGGAGTAAAAGATCAGTAATTGTGGGAGAATGAGTTTTTATAACATGATCTTATCGAGTTTCCTACTTTCACTGAATCAAGCTATAAAATATCTCCTGGCTCGAACACAATCGTTTTTGAACCTAATTAGCTGCACACAATTACCTGTTGTAGCCTTGAGAGTTGCTATAAACAAGGAACAAAGCTTTCTGTACATAAAAGAGGCTCTTTGCCAACATCATTATTTGCAAGGGAATCCTGTATGTCCTTAGAGCTTATGTTTTACTGTGTATGCTGATTTACTTCTGTATCACGTTACCTACTGCATCTATTCCTCAATAAGAAATTTAAACTGGTGAGAAGTCTGATTTTCTCAAAACAGATTCTAAGTGATATTTTGGATTTAAGTACGTATTTCTATTGGGGAAAACTACTTTACGTATGTTTTATGTGTGTGTGTGTATGTTTTTCTTAAAGGTATGTTCACTGTAGTTTTTGGCTAATTGGGATAATATCTACCTGTAGCAAGGAAAAGAACGAATTTTTTTAGCCTTGAGAATTTGGAGCAGTTTCCTTGGCATAGATTCTGTAGGTTTATATTTCCTTGCAGTTTTCGGTACCTCCTTGGCTTTAACCATTATTCATACTGTTAAATTATAAGCACTCTTTTAATTAAATGATTCTGTAGCTGGAACAAACTGGTTTGTGTATTTGTGCTTTTAGTTTGATTAGGAACATCTGCACTGGTGGCTTTACTTTAAGATCCATAATACTGTCATACTTTATGGGATTCCACTTCACTGAATAGTCTTGTATTTCATTTTTAATGACCATTTTGCCAATAGCAAAATACAGTAATCTTTCAGAAAACTGCAAAGTAAATAACAGGTTAGGGCATTTTTAGCTTTGCTTTTATTCAATTTTAAATTCAAAGTGAAACATTACCATGTACTTTGAAAACTTAGATAATGAACTTAAAAGGGCATGTTCACCAAATAGTTTCAGCATATGTTATAAATTTATTTTTCTTTAATTTAATGTAAAATGAAAGAAAATTATGATTTTAATAATATATTTTTACCTTTGAAAAATATCAGGTTAACAATAGAATTTGGGGATGTGATAATATTACCTGTGGTATATCATAAGCGATGTTTTTATGTGTAAGTCTTTAGTACTTAATTGTATGACTTTTACTTGGGTATAGATTTTGAGGGATTTTGTTTTATGAGTCATAGTATTTCATTGGTTATGAGGAAACATACTGGCCAGCCCCCAGACTGATGAGAAGCATAAAGCTTACTCAGCCCTTGTATCTTGGGAAGTTATGGATCTGGCAGCTAGTCTCTTGGAAGACTACCAGTGAAAGGACAAATCTACACTGCTGGGAGAACTTAAAGATTTTTGATAGTGAAAAGTTTATCCTTTTAAAAGTATCTCTTCTTTTAAAAACAATTATCTCAAACCTTTCTTGCTTATCTACTATGGAGAGTTAAAAAGTGAATGTTCTAAGCCACCATTTATTGTAAGAGGCGCTGCACTAAATAAACCCCTTTTGTACATTATCTCCCACTATCCTAGCAGAATCCTGAGAGACAGCAGTCTTCTATCTTTCTTATGAGAAAGTGGAGGCTTGGAAGAGAAGAAGGAATTCTCCCTGGACCTCATACCTGATGAGTGGTGGGGTCAGGACTTGATTCCAAATCCAACACTCTTAACATTTTTACTTTATACTCTACACTGCCAAAATAACCAGACTTTTCATAATACCAATGTTATTTGTAATAGAAGACATTTCTTTGGAAAGGTATGAATATCCTTCCCTTCAAATTACTTTTGCATTCAGGTTTCATCCTTGCAGTGTTTAGACTCAAAGGCAAAGTGACAAGAAAAATAACAAGAGTGGGATACAGAGTAAGGAAGGCATTTAGATATCATTACTTCCTATCTGTGTGAATATGATATTAGTAATTATTATCAGTTCCACTTCTTTAGGAAAATTAGAAGGAAGAAGGAATAATTTTTACTCTTGAATCATAACATAAATAGGAACAAATGTATTTAAAAAAACTCTACTGATTTTTAAAGCAGCTTTTCAGTTACTCAGCCTAGTTGAATTATATGAAATTGTCTAATCAAATGTTTTTTTATCTACAAATACATCAAGTTTATATGATTCAATCGAGTAGTTGTTTTTCATTCTTCTTTCTCAAGAAATGCACTTAAAATTAAGAAAGAGAATAGAAATTAATATTTGAGTGTTTTCTATATGTCAAAAACTAAGAAGCCAATTTAAATTGCTTTATTAAAGATTACCTTTACTAAAACCCTTTCTTTTTTTTTTCTTCTTCTTTTTCTTTTTTTTTGAGTTGGAGTCTCTGTTGCACAGGCTGGAGTGCAGTGGCACGTTCAGGTGATCCTTCCACCTCAGCCTTCCAAGTAGCTGGGACTAGAGGCATGTACCACCACACCTGGCTAATTTTTAGATTTATTGTAGAGATGAGGTTTCACCAAGTTGCCCAGGCTGGTCTCGGACCTGTGGGCTCAGACAGGCCTCCAGGGTGCTAGGATTATAGGTGTGAGCAACCATGCTTGGCCAACCCTTTCTTCTCTTACTTTTTAGACACTGTTCTTTTGTTTTTCTCTTGCTTTCTGTCTGTCCTTCTCTTCTTATGATCCTCTGCAGATTATTGTGTTCCCTTCATTGAACATCAGTGTCCTGGAGACTCAAACTCTGGTCTTCTCTAAATGCACCAGAGGTGATTTTGTCTGCATACAGACTCTAACCATCCTCATATGCTAATGAACCTTTCCTCTCAACCTGAGATCCATGTATTTATTTATTTGAAAACCAGCTAGATTGTCATTTAAATGTGAGCATACATACAGCAGTACTACATTTTCCAGCTTTCTTTGAAGTTGTGTGTTGCCTTGTGATTATATTTTGGTCAAGAGAAATGGGCAGAAGTATATTACTTCCAGGCCTAGCCGGTAAGTCATTCGTAATCCTCATGTCCACTATATGTCAGCAGATATTGATGTCCAAGGCAAATTTGGGAGCTATGTATTGGAGGTAGCATTGACTTTATCAGCCCTTGTCCCTGAATGACCTTGGAATTCATATGTTTAACTATGCAAACCCAGAATGTTCTAAAAGCGCTTCAAATGCATCATTTAATCTTCTAAAACAAGCAAACTGAATGAAACCATCTCTTAACCAGAATTGTAATAATTTATAACAACAGCAGTAATTATTAGGCACAAATGCAAGCACTATTGTAAGAGCACTTAAAGTATATACAAAACAAGCTCAGAAAGGATAAATAGCCTGCCTAAACTCACTGCACATGAATGAAAGAGGTAGGATTTGAACTCAGATATTCTGACTCCTTAGACTATACTCTCACCTTTATACTAGGCTAACTCTCATAGAAGTCCTATATATCATTCTCAACTCCTTTTCTTTTGCTGCCCTGCCTACTAGCATAGAGTCATCTACCAGGTATTCTGTTGTTTCTATCCCTAAATATCTTTTCAACCAATTAATGTTATTTCATGGCCCTGCTGCACGCTAATTCTGTCAGTGTTATTTAAACCATCATCCTCTTGTGGGTCTTTATTCTCTACTCTCATCTCCACCTGTAGGCTATTGTTCATACTCCAGTCAGAATCATCATAAAAATCTGAACATATTGCTTCCTATTCAGAATTCTTTAATGATACTCTATTTCCTCTAGAATAAAAGACCAATTCTTCAGCATATCCTCCTGTTAGATCATTAATAATCTGGGTCTTTTGTTACAAATATCTTCTCAAAGAGATATCCCCTCTGAGAATTCCTCCCAATCTCCTGGGAAAACTTATGTTTTCTTCCCTCCTACTGCTTCTGTACTTTTTGCATATCTCTATGATAGGCCTTAACACATTGTGTTATGATATTTGGGTACAACTCTTTCCACACTGGTCTGTATGCTCTGGAAGCAAAGATAATGTCATAATCTTTATATACTTATCAATGTGTATATTGCCTGCCACATACATGTTTGTTGGAAGAATTAAAACATTCTAGAATCTGTTGATTATTCTAGTACAGGATTATGGTACTCTAGGAAGAAAATTAAATTTAAATTAATTCCTATGTTTTAAAAATAAATAAAATAAAGATACTGAGAGTAAAATTACATTCAAATTTGAGTAATTGATTTCTTCTATCTTCTCTTACTTTCTCGAAGTTACTAACTTGCTGCCTTCCAGACAAATCTGATAACAGATAAATTTCCTTTGTCCCAAATAATGTTATTCCTTCCTATGGCAAAAATTAACAAATATGAATAGTTCATATAACAATTCAGAGGTCAGCCAGGCTCGGTGGCTCAGCCTGTAATCCTGCGCTTTGGGAGGCTAAGGTGAGTGGATTGCCTGAGCCTGCGGGTTCGAGACCCGCCTGGGCAACTTGGCAAGACCTCATCTCTACAATAAATAAAAAAAAATCAGCTGGGCATGGAAGCGTGTGCCTGCAATTCCGGCTACTCGGAAGGCTGAGGCGGAAGGATTCCCGGAGCCCAGCGGGTCGAGGTTGCGGTGGCTGGGAGTGGCCAGTGTACTCCAGTCTAGGCGACAGAATGAGACTCCAACTAAAAAAAAAAAAAAAAAAAAAAATTCAGAGGTCTAACTTTTCTTGAAAAACTGAGAAAGATATGGCCATAGAGGTTCCACAAAGAAAAATCTGCTGGACCTTATTAGAGGCTACTTTTAGACAGGGTATAC